CACGTGAATATCACGTGATAATCGACGTTTGAAATTTCGGACTAATGCGGTTTATAGGTGACAGCCACCATATAAATTTCGATTACACCTTTCTCTATTCGAAGACAGAAAGGATGAGTTTACGAAATTATATAGAAAGTATTAATAACAGTTTGATTTGTATGAAAACACTAAGACAACCACCGAAGGTTCTACCTTACTTGTGTATATGATAATAATTTATCATGTTGTTGAACGATAAAATGAATTCTCTTGAATTATTTTTTAATATATTATATAAATACGAAATGGCTAAGAAAGAAGTGAAAGTTCAACCAAGTCCAGAAATGGGCTTCTGCAAGGCAATGCGATTGAACACCTTTGGAACGAAATGGACTGTCGCTAAGACAGCTTGAAACACCCGCTAAAATACAGAACCAATTATGGAATGCAATTCAAAAGATGGGATGAATTAGGGTCTGATGTATGCAAAAAGTCGCATACTATGTGAAATATACAACAACGCTCCAATATTAATTGAATTTACAGCTCGATTACCATTCATGTTAGAATTGTCAGATATTTTATTCACAGACGTTTGCTATCAAAATCTTTGTTCAAGTTCACTTCATCCAAGGACTCAAGTGGAAAGAAATTCAATTTAAATACTTACAACTTTACAAAAAAAAAAAATTACTGATTCTTTTTGAACAAAGTAACGATAAGAAAGCTTGTTGTTGATTTGGGCATTGTCCTAAACTTTTCGGAGGATTGCAAATGGTCATAATGGAAGTTTTGATTAAGTTATAAATGTTGTCAAAAAAGCAGTTATAAAGATGCAAGTTGTAGGTTTTGTGCATAGTGAATATTTTCTGTAGAAAAAAAACAGGGTCGGTAGAATTCAATCATTTCTTAACCCTGAAATTTTGAGACGCAAATAACATTAGTTATTTCACTGCTTTTTTTCCGAATTGTGTATTATCAGATAATAGTTGCAGTATCATATTAATATGAAAATAATAATAATATTATTATTTTATTAGAGAATTATAAATATAAATTAGTGGTGCTGAATAAAAAAAATCAATAATGTTTTATTTTGTAATCTCATTCTGTTAATAACTATATAAATAGAAAGAATGCTTCTATTTATGGGAACGAACAAGATAATCCTCCAAGCAACGTTAAAATTAATTGGAAACATCTTTGCTTGGAATTTGTCCTTCTGGATTAATCTTATTTTGTATATTTAATAATTTAGTAAAAGCTTCCGTTTGAGGATTCTTGAATGGTTTTTCTAATTAATATCAAACAATAAATAATCGATAAAAAAAAAAATTTTAACCTATTAAAAATAATCATAACTTACGAAGAATATATGTTTGCTGTTGTCCATACGCAGGAGCGGTGGGTTGAAAATTATGCGGAATTACAAGTCCCGCTTTTTTTTGTGATATATTTTCCCGAACCCATTGTAATTCTGTATCAATTTTTCTAATACGATAAAAGAATTAATATATAATAGAATTTAGCATCATCGTAAATTAACCTTTTATTTTTTACCTCCGAATTTCTTCATCGGAAGGCAATGGGTTAACGTAGGAAGATAAAGAGAGAAATTCTTGTGTTGCCCTTGTAATTGCTAACCATTCCTCATCATAACTAAATTCCAAAAGACCATTTGCTTCTGGAAAATCGAGAATCTACGAGATAGATACACATTAACTTACATTCTAATGAAATCTATGAAATCTATACGTATTCAGATAATTAATATAATAACCTGTAGAAAATCGCGTCCAGGTAGACATTTATCAAGTGATAAAAATTTTGTACAAGGAGGTTGACCTTCAATTACATCATCATTTATATGAGAATTCGAAGGTGTTATTTGAGGGATTTTAGAATTTTCATGGACTAATTCATTTGATTGTTCTAGAACATTTTCAACAGGAGATGCCAAATTTTTAGTATTATTATCTTCAAGAGAGACAAATATCTCATCCTTATTTACACAATTTTTAGAATCATTTTTCGTTTCATCGGGATTCTTAAAATCTTCATCCAAGTCAATATTAATCTCATCAGGGTTCAAATCTTTAGTAAAATCAATATTAATCTTGTCTGAGTTCAGATCAAAATTATTAATACCTGGTTGTCCTTCACCATGATAAACAATAGCAGAAAATTTCACATGAAGATGTGCAGCAAACCAATATTTTGGTTTTAAATTAAATAATAATTCGTCACAAGCAGCACTCCCAAGTTTACCAGTTTTAATCTATCAATATAAATTCAAGATTACAAGCGTCTATAAGTGAAATGTCCCAAAATGAATAAACTTACGTCAGATTCGAAGTGCGGCTTAAAGCGAAGCAACGTTTCCAAATCTCCATAATTTGTAATTTGTCTAGGCCAATCATGGGATAAAAATATATCTAAAGGATTCCGAATCTGAATTCATGAACTTATTAGAAGAAAATAATAATTTAAACATATAATAGAACGTTGTATAAATACCTGGGAAAGTTTGAAAACATCATATTCTCTTACATGGTAAGCACTTCTAACTGTAGATTCACTATATGGAAGGGTTTCAAAGTGCCCTGATAATTCAAAAAAGTTGAAATTTTAAAAATCCCGTCAATGAAATCTCAAACGATCAAAACGCATACCTAAGTTATAATGACGAGGATTATATATTCCAGATAATCCTCCTATTCTTAATCCACCGAAATGTACCACACCGCCATACCCAAGGAAGTAAATATTTTCACAAACCCATCCACCATAATATCTATAGTTATTTTGAATTCAAATTAATTCAATGGATCATAATGATTTTTAATTGATTTATTCTTACATTTCCCATAAATAACTTATGACTTCATGATTTCCACCAATAAACAAAGTCGGATAAGGTGCCTTAAGTTCGCCAGTATAATACTTATAAAATGTTCCCAGTTTCTGATATTTAACCGGAACGGCCAGCGATTTATAATCTTCTATATTGCGTATGCTCTAAAAATATTTTAAACTTTAACCTTTAATATAATTAATTCTATTTAGAATTCTATAATACGTAAATAAAATATTTTTGCTGCAATCAATTTAGACAAGCTAACCTGAAAATCGCCACAGATCAACAATAAATCAATTTTTATATTTTCAACACTTTCGATATGATTTAAGGTTTTATAAATTTGTTCCAACTGATTATGACAACATCCTTCAATAGCTATCTGATATTATAAATAGGTAAACAAACGTTTTTATGAAAAAAAAAGTTGAAGTTTTTTCTTATACTTGCTCTCATTTTTTAACTCGTCTTTATGGTAAAGTGGAAGGTTTCAATAATTTAGAATTGTCGTTAGGGTGTCCAGGAATATGTGGCGCAAATATATGCGCATATTTTAAGATTTTTTTCACATATCAGTCACTGGTCATTTCCAGCGCAACGCCAATCACTAATTAAAATTTTTGTACTACGTGAATTTGCCTATCT